CTTCTGAGTGGTGGGCTGAACTTCTGTCTTCATGAAGAAAATCAATAGCAGTGCTGTACTGCTCCTGCTCTCTGGCTTCTTCCCCGCCCTTCCCCCTGCACAATGCACAGACAGTGTTCAAGGAAATGGGTACTCCCAGGGCACCAAATGGCTTTTTGCACTTAATGTAATGATGTCACTTGAGGTCACCATGCAAACAGTTATGGATATGAAAATCTGCAGTTCTGTCAACAGAGCTGGAACCTGGGGTCCTAGCTTAAGAGTTAGAGCCTTTCTAAAATATCTCTCCTTAATTTACCTACAGAGCATCTTCCCAGAAACAACAGCTGCTGTACCTAATTAGCATTAATCACCTTGTTACAGAAGAGCAACTGGGAATAGTACAGTACTTGAAATACTGACAAAATGATACACTAATGGCATTGATCTGTCCAGTCTACTTCAACTTCCCCTTTATTATTCTGTCTTCCGTATGAAAAGCTTCAGAAGTCACAAGTTTTGGAGCAGACTGGGAAGTGATGATACAGAAAAGGATCCACAGATGGGGGCAGATACAGAGCCTTTCAGCCTACACGAGATGCTTGCTGCCAGCTGTTTGTGACTGCACTTCCCAGTTTGGCATCTTGACCTGAGGCAAGAGTAGTCCTGGAAGGGGATCTCTAAGCACGGCATCCTTTTGGGCAGCACCAGGATAGGCTGGGTTGCTCTGCTGTGTGCTTTGTGGCTCTTCGATGGGGAGTTTTAAGACAAGCTCTGAACACATACCCCACCCCAGGAGAAGGAGTAAAACACCTACACCAATTGAAAGATCAATCTCAGAAACCACGTGGGGCAGTCTGTTGTTTACTGGGATCAGAGACCTTCTGTAAAGTTTCGGCCAGAAATGCACCAATTTTGTTAAGTTGAACCCTGAGGGTTTTGTAGTTCTGACTATTCCTGGTACTATTCCTCCCTGATCACACAGCAATTCAGTATCTGACATTGCAGCAGGCTGGAAGGCAGGAGCTAACAACACAGACATGTCATCACTGCTGTCCCCTGATGGATTATATCCTCTGTTCACTTCAATCTCCAAGATGGGACTCAGTCACAAATTAGTTTTGTCCAAGTCAGACACACTAGGAAACATCATTTTCTATGTCCTTTTGACAGTGTCTTTGCTGCTGTTTAACCCTACCAGTTCTGCTTGGTCTAAGTGAACAGCATTCCAGTAACTTCCTTGAGGCGTGACTCAGTTTCTTTAACTTAGACATTCAGTTTTCACATATGTTTATGAACGATTTGAGTAACCTTCCAAAAACAGTGCCTTATTCCCTATCTAATCCAAGGAGAAGAGGTGCTTATATCTAAGGCCACAAACACCTTGGAGGGCTGAAGGCTGCTGTGAGTGTTTCTGCCTCTCTCCCACACAGTCATCTGCAGACAGACATACAGGACCTTTACTGCCAAGCTCCCAGTGTGGTGGATGTGCTGATGAAGACGCATCTCCCACAACCCCTCATCCTACCTGTTGCCAGTTTTACAGCACTCCAACCTATTTCCACATTGCCGATTCTGTTTTAACACAAACTAATGCCATGACTGCTAGGAAAGAACAGACACGGACTGTCTAGGTAGGGATTTCAGACTAGAGAAGAGAAATTAAAAATGCAAAATAGAAAAGCAGATGGCATAAGCTTAATTAAAATAATATCTGATCTCCTGGGAATGCTAGGAGGATCTGTTGCCTTCCAGTGGATATGGTGCCCTGAGATTTACACTTGGGGATTATTCTGTTCCTCTCTCTCTCTCTCCTTTATCACAACTCTCCTATGTTTTCAAAAGGCTTGTGGTATGTGCTCCATCTGGATATGGCTCCTAATAAGGATGTGCTGGAGACATCCCCTAAGCACTAATGTACACCCAACCTCCAACCCTTGTTGTCAGGAGTCTCCTTATCAATGATCTGAAAGAAAGAAAGAAGCAAGGCTGAGCATTACAGCACTGGAAAGAAAGAAAAAGTGGGAGTGCTATAAAAGTGACAAATACATAATTAATATGGATACAGTATCAATAAAGGTTGAAAATTGAAAAAAAAAAAACAACTGGGTTAACTCAGAGATCTTATTTGCCCTTGCTGTGAGGTTCTTTTCTTGATGTGGCCCTAGCATCAAGCACTGTTCCATTTATGAACCAGGTGCAACCTTTAGGAAGTCACCAGAAATACAAGACACCTGTGAAGTTTTTTTTTGTATCTGACTCCCCTCAAGCAAACATGTAGCCAAATATATTTATTTAGAGGGGAAGAAACAACCAAGGAAAAGACCACTGGAGCAGCAGGATAAATCTGTGTGCAGTACGTGCAGTTTCCACGCTCTTTCTGCCACACTTCAATCACTGCAGTGTCTGGAAGCAAAAGTTGTATTCATGCTGGGTTGGTATTTAATTGAGCTCAATTGAACCAAGCTTCCAGCAAGCACATACGACAGATTTACACATGAATCTTCTCAAACTGAAAAATGACATTTATCAACCTTCCATCAGAACATTTGACATTTGAACAATTCATTCTGATTTAACATTAAAAAATGCCACCATCCATATGGAAAACTTGCAATAGGATCAAGCCCCTAGTTGCTACCATTCCCAACAATGGCTTTGCCAGATAAGCTATTAAAAATTTATGTACCACCTTAACTTTTTCTGGCCTTAAAGAGATTAAAAATAACCTTGACAAGTTTAATGCAGAAGGGACAAAAAAATCTAGTCAGAGGAATGGCAGCCAGAGCTGGGAGATGCAGTGATTAAGCTTCAAGAAAATCAGAGGCTGGGCAGATTTCCATAATAAGAGCAGCAGGAGCTGGAGTGGATTAAAGGCATGTTACATTGGCTACAGACAATACTGTCAGTCTCATTTTGCCTCAGATAACCTAGAGCTCATCTGGGTATGGCTAAGAGTAGAGTGCTGATCCAAGTGCCACTAGGTATGTGTTCACTTCATTAAAGAGGAACACTGTTTCCACAGAGATCTATCTCCAGAGCAGACTTCTCTCTGGACACAAGGCAGGAAGATGCTTGTCAGCCTTGCAGGGCAATTCCTCTTCAGCAGGTAGGTTTCACCCACTATTATATTCATAAGCATACTGTGGTCAGCACTGAGTTCACCTGGCGGAAGCACCAGCAGGAAAGGAGGTCCTGGCAACAGTGTGCCTCTACTACAAAAACTGGTCAAACACCTCCAGTACCTCTCTTTGACTGTTTATGCCATTCACCACTGGCTAAATGAAAGAGAATGTTTCCTGTGTGGAAAAGCAGAAGTTCTGGCAGAAAGGCTAATCATTCTCCTCTATCTGATTCCCAGAAAAAAATCTGGTAAGTTCTGCAGAAGTGTGACTGTGGCCTGTTTTCATGTATTAGTCCATTCCAATAATAGTAACCTTACAATCAACTGATGTAGTCATCCCCAGTTGATGAATTTCAGCTTACAGAATAGTGAGTTTCTCCAATCTTATTTTTCTCATTTCTATTATTCCAGTTTTCATGGTTTTTTCCTCTGTGCTATTTCTGAGTCTTTATTGTATTGTTCCTTCCAAATATGCTCTATAAAATTTTCTTTTCTGACTCCTGCTTTTTATGTAAAAGTCATTAATGAACACAAAATGATTGCCGGAGAACTCGATTAGTGATGTCCTTTCTTCTGATACTTTCTCCTTCAACACTATGTGATGTGTTTTGACTTCCCAAGTTTCTCATTCTACCAGCTTTATTCATAATACTGAGATTGGCTAAGGATCTACCTCAAATTACTTTTCCATTTAATATGTATGAATTTAACTTGTTTACCCTGAATCCAAATCTATTTTCAATTATCTGATCTCCTAGAATGGTCTCATGACATACCAAAGCCAAGTCTAAAAAAGTACCATTTCCTATCACATTAGTGAATCTCAAGAGGACATTTTTATTGCCTAGAAAGTAAAGAATATCACAGACTTACCAATAATAGCATCAATTGCTCTCTAACCTGTTTCCTGGTGTTAAATTATCCAAAACAACTACTGCAGTAGTAATTATCTGTCTAGTAACATTAAAGAATTCTCTTGGCAGTGAGAAAGGATCCTGGTGGCATATGGCATGCTGACAGTAATAATCTTTTACCAAACTATGACTTGTGCTGTCATTAACACACAATGTTGCTCCCTGCCTTTTCCTGAAAAGCAGCCACTGTTTCTGAGTATTCATGGCTTGCATAACCACCCTCAATCAGCAGCATCCTCTCAATGTCACTTGTTCTGATGTGAAGGACAGCCAGGGAACTCCTTCCTGCTCCAACTGGGAAATTTTCCACATTTAGATTACTATTTTTTTTAAGCAAAAAGCCCAGTGTTCCTTTGGCTTGTCTGTCATCAGGTTCTTGAAGCTGTGTGGCTAAATAGCTGTCCAGGTTTTCGAGGCTGGATGGGCATGTGTGGATTGCTCTTGTAAGTGTTAGCCTTGAAAGGAAACATGTCTTGTGGTAACAGAATGATTCTGCTTCCAGAATTAAAAAATATTGCTCAAAAATAGCATGAATATTTGTGTGGGAATCTTTACGGACTTAAAAAGTCCTTCATCTCACAGTAATGCAGCTCTTTTTCTGGTAGTGTCTCAACTTCCTGATCCTTTCTCCTTTTGTTGCAACTATCCTGTCTTCTCTTCCTTTTACAGTCCCTCTACATTATCTTCATTCTTTATCTGGCCAAGCTTTGATCTCAGCTTAATAAAAAACCTGTAGGCTTAAAAGAATTATGCCTTGCTTTTAAGGCACTGCTTTCTTTCTTTACCACATCCATGGTTACAGGGGCTTTACATTTTTGTAGGTCAGTTCCCTGAATCACAGCAGCAGAATCACAGTGATAAAACAGCTCTGTGAGGTGCTTGAGCCTTGATGGCATGCTCAGCCACACTCACAGAGATCTGCATATGATCCTGTCTTTCAGCCTTGGATTCAGCTTTTTCACTCTCCATCAGCACAGACTCACCTAATTTCACTTGAAGTGGAGATGGCTTATAGTTCATGGCTACAGTCTCTCCCTCTCTCGTATCACAATCTCTGTCCGAAATAGCTGCAGCTGCTGGATCCTGTTAAGAAAGAACAAAAACAAAACAGAATTGTTTAGCTGAGAGTACTGCAGCTTCTTCTCTAAGTGGCTATTAGGCGACTACACTGCCTTCACATTCAGAGGGAGCAAAGAACATGCCAGTGTTTCGAACACTGGTACCCAGGGGCAAAACACAGAACTTTGGAAGCACATTTATTATATATACCTCTGGAAATGCCAAATTTCAACATCAGGCTTATATTATGGATGATACTGGGAATATAATGTGGACGGTGGGTCACTAGTTCAAATTCAGCCTGGGCTGGAAGTAGTCCCAAATAATTTTCCATGATGACTCCTTGGGATGTTTTATAAAACATATTTACAGTTTCCAATGAATTCCAAGTAGACCACTCAACTTCAAACTTAAAACTAAAGTTTGAAACCAGGTCTGTCTGGAAGTCCAGCTTGGAAGGATTGCAGACTACAATGGTAGAGGAATTCAGTTTCTGCTCCCTCTTGGGACCTATTTCAGGACCTATTTCCTATGACAAGAAAGATCTGTCAGCACCATCCCTTTCACTGTCACTAAAATTTCCCCCCTGAAAAACCAATCTCCCCAAACACATTCTGCTCCTGCCTACTGGCAGACAACATGTATTGAACTCTATGGTACAGCACATCAAAGAACATAAGAGAGAAACAAACTACCAATTCAGACAGTTCTGATAAACTGATAAAAATAACTGAAGTCCTTTCACAGCAAACTGCAAACCTGTTGGAACTCCCTCCACTTAGCACCATAGTGAAAATTAAAACTAGTTTTCAAACATGTTCTTACTCCCACCTAGAATATAGAAATTAAATTGAAAATGCACATAGATATATGTGTATATAAATTTGGGTGTATCACAGGTAGAGCTGCACAGGCAAAGGAAATATTCAGCATTAGGTCCAATACATGAATAAATCATCACTTGTGAGAAATTAAACAAGGCATCATAAATTAAACACTAGAATACTATTCCAAACTATTGAATTGATATTGTGTCTCTCTCTCAGTTTCTGGAGTTTTTATTTTGTACACAATTTAATGTAAAATGCAATTTTTGATTTGGCACAGACACAAAGCAGAGTCACTGAATTTCAAAGCAAGGTAACATCACTCTTGACTCCCAGTAAAAAAAAAAAAAACCACTTGTTGAGCCACTCAGTGCACATTAGCTCTTTGTAAGATACTGTGTTTAGGAGATAGAATGTAATTATTGAATTAGGCCCTAGCTTGGTGGAAACTGGTTAAATAACATATGTAGGGTTATAATATTTTATGAAAATCCTGCTCCTTTGCACTACCCCATCGACTTCAAATGGGTGGTGTGTACAAGACCTCACATTCAAGGACAATGCTGAACAAAAGACAATTTTTTCTGCTTTTCTCTAACACAGTCACTGCTGCAGGCTTCCTCTAATGTAGCAGTTTAGTGACTAGGTAAAAAGGTAAGAGCAGTTGCAAACCAAAAAAACCAGTCTCCAGGAGAACATTCAGGTACAAATCATAGCTCAGTTCATGTGGTATCCTTGGAACATGAATCTGGTCTCAAACATGCCAGATGAATGGAACACATCAGAATCCAAGCTGTAGGAAAGAATCATGAGGGTGTGGCCTCTCACCCTTCAGAGGAAGGGAGCACCCAAGATTTATAGATGCTTATGGACAAAAGGAATGTCAAAAGTCAGAGGGTCCACAAAAATCTTACACAGTTCTGCTACTAAATTACACATTTGTCATGGAAATTGGTACATTAGTTCTTAGCCTCCTATTAAGCACCCAGCAGTGGGTTTAGGACAAATGAGGGAGGTGAAAGGGAAGGCAGAAAAAGATTAATTAAAGAGGGGTAGAAAGAAAGGAAGAAAGAGAGAGGGAGAGAGATCAGCAGTCTTGGCTCCATCGCTGATGCAGATGATGGGGTGTGCAGGGTACTGGGGTACACACATATCTGGGCTTTGTATGGGTACCTTTTTCTAGATGAGTTCCCGTGCACTGGAGGTAAACTTCTCCCTTTCTGTGTAATTTAGCTACTTTGAAAATTGGTTGGAAGCTTCGGGGTATTTGGTGGTCCCCATATCCTCCTACAGGCCTGCTTCTTGACCTCATTCCTACACTTGTGCTGTGTTGTGTTTGCTAATCTTCAGGAGCCAGGATAATGACATTTGTCCCAGAAAAGTGCTGCTCTATCTCCATGTGGCCCCTTCTCCAGCCCTATTCTATTCAGTGTTCTATAACTAACAATCCTTGGTTTGTTCCAAAGCCATCCAGCCATCAGTGTTTGAGACATTCACACGAGCTCCCTTATCTTCAGGCTTCTACACATGGGAACAGCTAGATAACACAAAGGACATATGTGTCTGTCAGACATGCTAGAATCTCTTCAAGAGGGATGTCCAAATGGTGCTAAGTGGAGACATTTGAATCCAGGCTTCCTGGATGAGTATCTTTCCTCTGCCAATCTGGGAAAAGGCAGGATACAACTATTTCTAAGGAACATGACTCCAAGACCTGCATGCTTCCTAGTTGCTACTGAACACAATAAGGAAGTCCTTGGAGCCCCAGTCTGCTGGCTGCAGGAAGGCACAGAAGTAGACATATTATGGGAACTGACATAGTGTGATTATACTGTCTCCTGTGCTGGTGCAGTCCAGCAGAGAGTACACAGAGTTCAAAGCCAGAAGTCCACATGGCAGAGAAGGGGTCTGGCCATTCCTGGACTGGCCCATATTCACATTGTTAAAATCATGCTAAAACTCTCAATCCAAACCAGCCCTTTCCTTTTGCGGCAAGCTGATGTGCTGACAGTAGCTTTACCTTTGTAGGCAACCTGACCTTGACATGAGACATCCACTTGCATCAATAGCGGGAGGGGAGAAATGTTCTGAGGTGTCTTTGAAGATTTGAACTCTGACCCTAGACCAATGAACTCAGCTGAAGAAATCTCGAAAATGGGCTCTAGACCAAACACACAGAAAAGACTTTCTAGGCCTCCAGAGAAAACTAAGATGATTTTCAAAGAGTGATTACTCCTATTCTGTCGAAGACACTCATCTTAAAAGGGCATGAATCTGTCCTTGGAGAAGTGTTTCCCTTTCTCCATAGTCTAGAGAGAAGGCCTGGCAGCTGGTAGAGCTTCTGACACTGGAGGTAGAAATGATGCAGAACATGGTAGCAGAGTCAGCCCTAGGAATTCTTCCCAAAGGTTTGGCATGATGCTTTTCAGCCCCAGCAGCACATTACAGCTGCACAAGAGATCCACAGCTTGAACAGGGGGATCACAAACACCATCAGTGTGGGTGACCACCACTGCATGCATGGGCCAGCCCACTCCCCCCAGAGAGTAAAATGGATTTGAGAGGAAACCCTGTTGGGCTAGGGACAGTGTCCCCAGTTGCAATACCTATCTATCCCTGGCCCAGGAGTGGCAAGACACTATCATAATTCCCATCCATCACTTCACAGGCATTCTGTGGCAACTCACAGGACTCCATAGTAACAATGCCCACTGTGAAAACAGCAGCATTCCCACGCCAGCTTGGCTAGAACTGCCTCTGCACAAACACATTCTGCTTCTGTGCATACTGAATGGATGCAGTTCTATCTCTACAGCTCAATTGTCCAGAAAAATGTTTACTTGACTGATTAGCCTTTTGCTTGTGAATGCCCAACAGCACACTGAGATTCAACACAGGCTTTTGCTATTGGAAGTTACTTGGCATTTTTTTTTCTTTTTCACAAGCTTCCCTACACCAATACACTCAGCTCTTCCCCCAGCATCAAAACCTCAGTTACATGGTGTGACTGTTCCCAGGACAAATGATGTAACTTCCTTTTGCTCACTGAGGATGACACAACGCTCCCAAACAAAAGGCAAGTGCTGAGAAGTGCCTGCAGGGGCTGTAGATGGCTAAAGATATTTAATATATTTAAGGGATTTTTTTTTTTTTTCCTTCCTAAGGCTTCTGTATGTCTTCATTCCTAAGGAAAATATACATTTGATCAGTGCACTGCATGAACATTTGGCTGGGGCCAGAGTTTAATCAAAGTTTTCTCCCCATATACTCCCAGCTTAATTGGGCATGCACAATCACAGCATTTGAACAGTGGGGAGTTTTCTTACTAGATTGTTTGTTTCTATAGGCTCAACACAAAGGATCTTGAAAACTGCCCTCCTGCTAGGAGCAGCCATGTCCACTGTGAGTGTACCATGTGCCATTTCTGAACATCAGAAATTAGTTCCAGCGAACCTTTGTGGAGCAGGAGTGCTGTGAATCATCAGTATGCAGGAGCACAGAGAGAAGGTGAAAACACTTTAAGCTGAAATCTGGGGTTTAAGGAAGATGGCATACTTAGCAGGCTTTTTTTATTTTTTTCTCTTTTAAATCACTTTCCATTTTGCAGTACTCTAAGAAGGCATCAGCTCAATAGCCTTTTACTCTTATTATGTACCCCTCCCAATAACCCACACTGACTATGGGGTGGAGAATAGCCCCAAGTGATGGAACTGGGTGCTTGGTACAAACTTACCCTGGTAGCACCTGGGAAAACACAGCTTTCTATGCCTTCCTTCACAGTCAACACTTCTGATCCCTTGCAAGCTTGACAAGGCCCCATTTTCCACTCTGCAAATCCTCAGGGACCCCAGTGTACGTGGAAGAGAATGGGCACACACAATTTCTTTGGTCTTCAGCTGAACCTTGAAAACATATGTGTAACTTGAAGTCTTTATCTGCCCCTCCTTCCCATCCTCAAAATCAGTCATATTTTACAGCTCTTATGAAAATGTTCTCCACTATGCTGTCTGTGGGAAATTGATCACCAGTGCAGTTCTGCTGCTTTTTTTGGATAAAAGCAGGGGTGGCAAAATTTCCCTCATCCTCTAATCTCAAGGAAAGACGCAATATACAGGGCTTGACCATCATTTCTCTCCATAGTTCACAGGTTTCTATCTGATCACCATCAATTGTATCAGTATGAGCCAACTGATCAAGAAGATCATCCAGCTGACTTGTCTCTCTGCAGTACCCATCAATGAAGTACTTGCTGTCTTCTGTCCTGCTTAAAAGATGCTGGAATTCTCAATACCAACACATGTATGACAGCTTACAGTGAGTGCTTGCAGCTCAGCAGACATCTGCTTTCTGGAGCTGCCCATGTGGATTGCATACTGCACATAAATGCTAACAGGAAAGGACTGCGTACTGCACACAAATGCTAACAGGAAAGGACAAGTCCAAATGTTTTGTTTCTTTCCTACATCAAACGTTGAATCTGAAAAATTGATAGATATTCTGTTCATGGGGGACTGACTTAGTGAGCAGAAAAACAAGTGAGAGAAACCACACACTGTGAATACAGGGGGGACATTAGGGTCAACAAGAAGTTTCTGTGATTCCAGTGTTGTTATTCAGACTCTTGGGCTAGAACATTGTGCTGCTAATAAATATTTATACCTGCAGTCTGTGCCCTGTGTAACAGAAAGTGCTGCCTGGTTGGCACTCTGCCTCAAGCTCTACTATGCCAGGTATTCCTGAGAAATCTGGCTATAGAAAGCTTCTGGGAAGGGAACTCTGACATGCACAGGTTGGTATGTAAAATCTCACACTGTGTTGGATAGCAGACTGCTGTAGCCTCTACATAGCACTACAATATAGACGTAAAGTATCTATGAATATAACGTGTGAAAAAAACCCCCAGGAACAAAAACATTAAAAACCAAGATGTGCAGAGTTTGATGTCTAAACAAGAAACAGCATATAGGAAAGGCTCAGATCTACAGGGGATCAGATTTATATAGGGGATGAATCAAACCCCAGTGTATACACAAACATGGTCAGTAATAATAGCACATTTGCCAAGAGAAAGGAAAGAGTCATGGGGTGATGTACAGCAGGAATGGAACCAGAAAGCCTCACAAAAAACTCTCTCACGATTTCTGCCCCAGGCTTCAGCTTAACTGATTTCTTCAGTGGGCTTCAGCTCATTTGATGGGCTTCAGTTTTGGAGCCCATTTTTTCAAGGGATATGTAATTCCCACATCAGTCCTATGGATAAAAGCTATATGCTACAACCACCCCAGAACACTAGAAGAATGGGACTGCTCAGAAAAGAAAGGGCAAGACTAATGAAGGATATAATAGCTGTCTTCACTTACAGCAAGGGCCACCAGGGAGAAATAGAGGAGTACTTTTTCTTCATGTTTCTTATCACGAGAATAAGAAATTATTATCTTAAATTGCAGTAGGACTACAAGGAAGTATCAGAGAAAAATGAAGAGGTAAGGCTAAGGAGATATGCATTTGCCTGATGAAAGTTGCGGCATTGCTGCTGCCAACCCAGGTTAGAAACTAATGTCACAGAGAAAGTCAACAGAGCTGATCTGGTTTTCAGACTTACTGATCCTGATCTGGTGCAAACTGTGAAGATCCCTGTTCTTTTTAGGTCCCTTTCCCCATCTGTCTTAACAGAAGAAGAACTTCCTTCTATGCCAGACTTGGTCAGAACACCAGTCAACCCTGGAAGAGATGTTCTCCAAGTTCCCCTACCCACTGCCAAGGACTATGGCTGACCTCCACCTTCTCTCTGGGAGATCTGAAGAAAACAGTCTTCTTCTTAAGTCTCACATGTTGAAGGAACTCCAGAATCACATGGGATCCAGAGCAGAAGGCTCCTGGGAAGACATGATTGTCACTTTTTATCAACATGTGCACTCTGCCAGATCCAGAGCAGTAACTGTTCATCTCAGCATCTCCACCCTCCCTGTACCAAAGTCAAAATAAATGACATTTTGGAGACACAGTGACTGATGTACTGAAAAACATTCTGATAGCTACTGACTCCATTTCAACAAAGCAATAAACAACAACTGTTTATGGAGTTTCTACTAGCTCTGCCAATGCACCACTTACAACATTGCTGTTTTTCTCTTCTGAGCAACAGAAGAGAAACAGATCTTGTTTAAAAAATTAGGCCTCCAATATCCACTACAAGATCCAGATTTTGAACCTGATTAGTTTATAATTATAAGACAAATTGGTGTTTGAAACCATTTTATTTCAGCAACTGAGAAGCCAGCAGTATTAATATTGCAGCAAGATTAAAACCTTTAGTCTTATTAATTAAACTGAACCAGCATGTCACTAAAATGACTTTTTGCTGTGTACACCTGCAGTTGGGATAGCTCAACGCACTGACAGGTAGCCAGGAGTTTAGACCATTGCCCTGCTTCAAACGGGAGAAGAGAAGTGTCAGTCTCCCTGTGGGTGCCGTGGTGGCAGTGCTGAAATGCTGCCTTGGAGCCCTGGCCACAAAGGGTCTGCCCGACTGCCACATCGAGGTTGAACAAAATGCAGCAAACAGAAAGGCATAAGCTGTGGAAAGGGATCAAGATGCTTCAGTGATCTGTTTTCCTAATCAAAAATGACATTTGCAGCACAGGGAAGAAACTTTTTTTAGATGACGGTGTATGACTAATCCTGGGAGTCTACAGTAGCAGAGGAAGCACCAATGCAGTAACTAGACCAAATATTTCGGGAAAACATTTGAGGGACAAATAAGAAAAATGTGAGCAATTACATGCTTTCTGTTAGATTTCCCTCTGAGAAACCAGCAGCACAAGCAGCCCCTTTCCTTTCAATCATGATAGAGTATATTTAACACCATATTTCCCTCCAGGCTCTTTCACACATATAAGCCATCTCTATTATCATATGCATTTATAAGTTTGGTATCTTGTGCTAGCTTTACATGACTTAAATTGAATCATTAACATTGCAAATTAGAGAAATGCCACACTGCACTCCTCACTGCCTGCAGCACTTAGCAAGTGGCATGCAATAGCTATTTAAAACCAGCTATTAGCTGTTTTCAGGATGATTCAGTATCAAAATTCCTTCCTTGTAAAGGATATATATGTGAAGATATCATGCCTCTCCTTTTGTGCCTCTGATTACACAGCCACAGCTCTGAGGTGCAACGTGAGTATTCAAGGTACAAAGGCATCACAGATTCCTTGGTAGTTATTGTAAGAGTCAGTTTAACAACTGGCATCTGGCCAAACCAGGATCATAAAAAACCCTATACAACTTCACAACTGCTCTTTAAGCCTCAACTCTTGAGGAGAGATACCCTTCAAATGATTAAAAAATTGAGCAACATGTCAGAGCCAAGGTCACAGTGTGTTTGGAGAACAGGAGCCTAGGCCCTTGGCTGTTACATAGTAGTTGAATCCTATAGAAAACTGCACAGCCCCAGTGCAGTCTGGAAGGGACCATGGCAGTCCCTTGTAGTGACTGAATTTGTGCCCATCAGTTATTGTAAAGAGCTTATTTCAGGTCTGTGTCCTATCTTTACTTCTTCAAGTCTCTAACAGAGCCCCACCAAGAGGAACAGCCTGTTTTCAAAGAGAGAGCTGTTTTCCACCTGAAATGAAGATTTTCACAATCTCTCCTGCATAGTGGAGGGGAACTGTGCTTCTTTCCCATGGACAACTCTAGGGAACTGTGCTTCCTTCCCATGGACAACTCTAACACCTAGAGAAACCAGCTGAGGAAGTGCAAGACAAGTAGAGACATCACTACTGAAATGCCATGATTGTCAGCATATACAGAGTGGTTTATGGATCCCCACCATGCACAGGTAGGCTGCTCCAGCTGTACAAAAAAGACAAAATCAAACTTTGGCTGAGTGAAACACTAGAAATTTTGGTTGGTTCTAGCAAATACTGCAGAAGTGACATATTCTGACAAAGAAAGACCTGGTGCAATACAAATGATGCTAGGAGAGCCCTGTTGCTGTGATGTTAGTTCCCACCAATGTCCTGGAGACTGCATAATTGCTGCCACAGGTCATTGATTGGATCCAGCATAGCAAACACGATGTTATTGAGCTTTTACAGTCTCTGGCTGTAAGAACAATAGTCGGAAAAGCTGGGATGGCTCCACATCCACACCTTTCAACAGACCAAGGGCTGTAATCAGTGGTTCAGTATCACAGCTATTACAAGCATAAATCTGGGGTCATCTGTTCTTTTCCAGTTGGTTTGAGTTTTGTTTTTGTAAGGCAGCTGATTTTTACATGTTCAGCATCTGTACAAGTGTGATGAATGAGGTCTTGCTTTTTGCTTCTGGAATACCCCTGGCACCTTTAATCTAATCCCTCAGATCCTTTTCTGAGCTGTTTGATTGCTTCTTCTGTTCACTCCTTCTCCAAGAATAATTTTTCATTCTGCCTGTCTTGTGCACCTAGTAAATCTCTCTTCTTCCAGAGAGCAAGGGTGTCTGGCTCTGCAGGCTCTCTGACTGTGATCTCAACCCAGGAAAGGAGACAGGTTGTAAGCAGGATACTAACAAAGTCCCCAAGAAGCACTGTGGGGCCCCACCACTCTGGAATGGAGGCTCTCCAGGGAAGCAATTATGGCACCAAGCCTGTGAGAGTTCAAGAAGCATGTGGACAATGCTCTCAGGCACATGGTGTAACTTCTGGGATTGTCTTAAGCAAATCCAGGAGTTGAACTCTATGGACCTTATGGGTCCCTACCAACTCAGAATGTTCTATGATTAAAAAGATTTATCAGGAACCATAATGGATGCCCACTGGCATTTAAAGCTCTGTAACAAATACAAAAATCACACAGTCTTCCAACACAGCCCCAAAGATGTGCAGCTGCGCAGGGCTCATGCACCAAGCACATCTGCCACACTGAAGACAGGTGGGGATCGCAGTGGTGGACACTAGCTTAGCCTAGACAGAGCAGAGACTGACACAGCCCATGCTGTTGCTGGGCCCAGAGCTTTCCCAGGACAAAGTCCTGAGAGTTCACTTGTCCATACTGCAAAGGTGGATCCCAGCAATAAAAAATTGCCATTTTCTCTGCAATAGTAGAGAAAACAAAACCACCAAGCTAAGAGTTCAGCAGCCCTTTTCTCTTTAGCACCACACTTTCAACTTATCCCAGGAGACAGAAAGCTCAACCACCGGATTTCCATATTTATAAGAAGAGAGTTTCTGTTTAGCCAAGCTTGTGACGGAAATAACCCTGCAAACAGCAGCAGGGAACAGCAGCATGGCAAACACATCTGAGAGGCAGGGATGTGAAAGCCAGGGGACATTTCTCAGTGCTCCTACCTTGGCATGGCTTTCCAGCCCTGCCTGAGAAATTCTGAGGGCACAAATCATTTTGGCTTCTAAAATAAGAGTTTGCCTTGCCCCCACCCCACACTCCTGTATCTCCGTGACTAATTAGCATCCAGAGGGATACAGATTCTCTTCTGATAAAGCAATGTTTAGCTCCCTTCTCCCCTGACACATTTGTATTAGAAATATCCTCATTATGTGACTAATCAGGGAAGCTGAGACAAAGGCACAGAAGCTGACTTAAAGGGAAATCACTGATTTTTATAACAGTTTCTTACAAGTTATTCAGTCTCTAAAGGGCAGGGATATTTCCTCCCCAGTGCTGTAAAAAAATGCAAAATTGAGGTTCCTGAAGAAAAAAATCCATCTTTATTACCAGAAGTGGTGGCTTTTATCATTCCCAGTATTTAGTGATCTTGCTCCCAATTCCCTTGGTTACTGCAGGGTTGCAGTTAGTGCACTGCAAAGGTCCTGGAGAGCCTGCCAGCCCTGTGCTGCACACAGGGGCTGGGCTCAGCAAGGTGTCCAACAGCTGCAGTGCTGCCTGATACAGTGGATGGCAAGTGACAAGG